CTCCAGCCTGGGCAACAAGAGCAAAACTCCATCTAGAAATAAAAATAAATAAATATACAAATAAAACAAAAGTAAATAAAATGATGACTTTTTTTTTTTTTTTTTGAGACGGAGTTTCGCTCTTGTTACCCAGGCTGGAGTGCAATGGCGCAATCTCAGCTCACCGCAACCTCCGCCTCCTGGGCTCAGGCAATTCTCCTGCCTCAGCCTCCTGAGTAGCTGGGATTACAGGCACGCGCCACCATGCCCAGCTAATTTTTAGTATTTTTGGTAGAGACGGGGTTTCACCATGTTGACCAGGATGGTCTCGATCTCTTGACCTCATGATCCACCCACCTTGGCTTCCCAAAGTGCTGGGATTACAGGCTTGAGCCACCGTGCCCGGCCAAATGATGACATTTTTAATGCTTAGTCACCTCCTTCATATTCATAGTCACCATCTTTTTAAGCAACTCCAATTTTATAGTTTACATTTCTCACTGCACCAACAGGTGGAGTTTGTGAAAAATATAAGGAAATATTACTGCTAATTAGGCAAGCCCAATGCTCTAACAATTGTCAAAAACGAAAATGATAGCAAAACAAATCACCAGACCCCCGAGGCAGTGTTTTCTCATTCATTTCCTCCCTCCATCCTGCCTTCCACAATAAGCAGATTTCTGAGACCAGCCTGATTCGTATTCCTCTTCCCTCCCGGATACGGACTTGGGTGTCCTATAGCGGGGCTTCTGTCCTGTCCACACCCAGCAGGTGCGCAACTCATACAGCAGGAAGAGGACCCGGCAGAACTCCACAGCCAGCAGGAAGGCGCTGTCTCCCTCCAGGTTAGGCAGCCCGGAGCCACGCCACTGGTATGTAGGAGTGAGAATTCTTCCCCACCTGACTGTTTCCAAGCAGGCTCATGTTGTGATTAAGGGCATGGCTTGATAGCCAAAATGCTTGGGTTTGAATGCGGGCTCAGCCACTTACCCTGGATAAGAAATGGAACCCCTCTGTGCCTCAGCTTCCCCATCTGTTCCTGCCTCCAAGAGTTGTTATGAGATATAAGAAGCTTTTACACATAAAACACTAGAGCAGGGCTTAGCACAATGTCAGCTACTCTCACTATCACCTTGAAACGTCTCCAAATAGTAATTACAATGAATATCATTATATTCTGTTGTCTTCTGGTTACGAGCTGTGAAACCACATTGTAGGCAAAATTTACCAAGTCTTCTGCATTTTAGTTACTTAGCACTTTATCGGACCCAGGATGAAACACCTGGGCCTGACTTAACAGTGAAGTGAAGAAGTGAAGTTCCAGAATTCTGTTTTACCAGAAATCCTACTTCTAGGAATACCTTCATACCTTTTTTTTTTCTTTGACACAGTGTCTTGTTGCCCAATCTCGTTCACTGCAACCTCCCCTTCTTTTGGGATTCAAGTGATTTTCGTGCCTCAACCTCCCGAGTAGCTGCAATTACAGGCGCCCTCCAACCACACCCAGCTAATTTTCCTGGTTTTTTGTTTTTGTTTTTGTTTTTGTTTTTTGAGACAAAGTTTTGTTCCGTCGCCAGGCGCCAGGCTGGAGTGCAATGGCGCGATCTCGGCTCACCGCAACCTCCGCCTCCTGGGTTCAGGCAATTCTCCTGCCTCAGCCTCCTGAGTAGCTGGGATTACAGGCACGCGCCACCATGCCCAGCTAATTTTTGTACTTTTGGTAGAGACGGGGATTCACCATGTTGGCCAGGATAGTCTCGATCTCTTGACCTCGTGATCCGCCTGCCTCGGCCTCCCAAAGTGCTGGGATTACAGGCGTGAGCCACTGCGCCCGGCCAATTTTCGTATTTTTAGTAGAGACAGCGTTTCTCCATGTTGGCCAGGCTGTTCTCAAACTCCTGACCCTCAAGTGATCTGCCCGCCTCAGCCTCCCAAAGTGCTGGGATTACGGGCATGAGCCACCGTGCAAGGTCTTAATTCTAGGAATGCCTTCTATCTTTTTTTTTTGAGATGGAGTCTTGCTCTGTGGCCAGGCTGGAGTGCAGTGGCGCAATCTCTGCTCACTGCTACCTCCCCGTCCTGGGTTCAAGCGATCTGCCTCAGCCTCCCAAGTAGCTGGGACTACAGGCAGGTGCCACCATGCCAGGCTATTTTTTGTATTTTTAGTAGAGACGGGGTTTCACCATGTTGGCCAGGATGGTCTTGATCTCTTGATCTCGTGATCCGCCTGCCTTGGCCTCCCAAAGTGCTGGGATTACAGGCGTCTAGGAATGCCTTCTAAGGGAATTTTCAGGTCAGCAGAGACAAGGTACAAAGAGGTTCACTACAGCATCATTTACGGAATGAAAAGCTGGACACAGCCTAAGTGTGGAACAATCTGAGAATGATTAACTAGGTTATGGTACAGCAATGTGCTTCTGAAGAATTTTTGCTGACTAGGAAATCCTCATGAAATGAATAGAAAAGCAGGTTTAAAAACTGTTTCCAGTTGAATCACATTTGGTAGCTGTGTAAGCACACTTGCAGAAAACAAACTCCAGAGAAGTGTATCGAGATGTTCACAGTGAGTTTGAGGGTGGGGTGTCTTACATGTGGATTTTGTTTACATTTTCTGGGTTTTGGTGTCTTCCATGTGATGTGTTATCCAGGAACACAATTTTTATATTTGGGGGAAACATTAAGTCATAAAATCAAAACATTTTAATACAGAAAGAAAGAATCTTTCAGCAGACACAGTGAACGATCAGGAGCTAGGGATGGAACCCATATTCCTAAACTCCTGGTTTTTTAGCCCAGAAGGACTCGACATAACAGAGAGAGGTGTTTCTACTCTTCAACTTACCTTTGTTCTATAAAGTAAAGCTGCGAAAAATCTCTCAGTTATAGATAGATAGGTAGAAAGACCAACAGATAGATAGATAGATAGATATTAGATAGATGATAGATAGATGATAGATGATAGATGATAGACAGATATTAGATGACAGATAGAGAGATAGATATTTTATAGATGTTAGATATTAGTTAGATGATAGAGATAGATAGATTAGATAGATAGATAGACAGACCAACAGATAGATAGATCAATAGATAATTAGATAGATGATAGATGATATATAGATATTAGATTATAGATGATAGATATTAGACAGATGATAGACAGATGATAGATGATAGAGATAGATAGATTAGATAGATAGATAGACCAACAGATAGATAGATTGATAATTAGATAGATGACAGATAGGTATTGGACAATAGATGATAGAGATAGATAGATATTAGATAGATCATAGATGATAGAGATAGATATTAGATTATAGATGATAGATATTAGATAGATGATAGATGATAGAGATAGATAGATTAGATAGATAGATGATAGATAGATAGACCAACAGATAGATAGATCGATAGATAATTATATAGATGATAGATGATAGATAGATATTAGACGATAGATGACAGATAGATAGATATTAGATAGATCATAGATATTACATAGATCATAGATGATAGAGATAGATATTAGATAGATAAATATTAGATGATAAATGATAGATGATATAGATAGATAGATATTAGATGATAGATATTAGATAGATGATAGATGATAGAGACAGATAGATATTAGATAGATATTAGATAGATGACAGATGATAGATATTAGATAGATGATATAGATAGATAGATAGATAGATAGATGATAATAGGTGAGAGGGAGGGAGGCAATAAGGGAGGGAGGGCGGGAGGAAGTGAGGGAGGGAGGGAAGGAGGGAGGGATAACAGATGGTTGTAACTTGGGGGAGGAGAGCAAGAGCCTCTGAAGGTGCGGGATACAACTTGGCCTTGACTAATTATACGCATTCATTTCTACAGCACTGGGGAGAGACATCTTTGGCCCACATCTGCTTATTATGAGAGCGTTCTGAGAAAGTTGGCCATAGTTTTAGCAGAAAAAGCCCAGGAAACTTCACCAGAGTTCTCCACCACAGCAATGCTCCTGCTTCATCTTCCCATCAAACAATGGCAATTTTGCAAGAGTTTTGAGGGAAAATCACTACAGTCCTGATTTAGCCCCTTCCAACTTCTTTTTGTTTCCTGATCTTTAAAAACCTTTAAAGAACACCCATTTTTCATCAGCCAATAACATTCAAAAGCCTGCCTTGACAGGGTTAAGTTCCCAGTGCCTCAGTTCTTCACAGACGGACTAAGGCCTGGTATAAACCCTTATGAAAGCCTCTGAACTCGATAGAGCTTATGTTAAGAAAGATTATATTGGCCGGGCGCGGTGGCTCAAGCCTGTAATCCCAGCACTTTGGGAGGCCGAGGCGGGTGGATCACGAGGTCGAGAGATCGAGACCAACCTGGTCAACATGGTGAAACCCCGTCTCTACTAAAAATACAAAAAATTAGCTGGGCATGGTGGTGCGTGCCTATAATCCCAGCTACTCAGGAGGCTGAGGCAGGAGAATTGCCTGAACCCAGGAGGCGGAGGTTGCGGTGAGCTGAGATCTCACCATTGCACTCCAGCCTGGGTAACGAGCGAAACTCCGCCTCAAAAAAAAAAAAAAAAAAAAAAGATTATATTTTATGTTTTTAGTCTCTTTTAATTTCATTTTTCCATGAACTTTTTGAAGTCTTCTCCTGTAATTATCTCTTCTATAAGCAAATGCAACTGAGTGAGTGAATCTGTAGCTTGGAGCTTAGATTAAACAGATGACTTAAGAGAGGATCTGGCCTCAGCTTTGAATTTTGTAAGTGTGATTCCTGCCTTCTTTATAGAGAATGCATCCTGGAAAAACTCACATGTAAAGATAAGTACTACCTTAGAAGGTAAATCTCAGCTATATACAATACTGAATTCGTAGGAAGAAAGGCAGAGTCCACCATCTTCATACTGACCACAGCCATCAACAGTGGCACCAACCTCTTTCAGCAAAACCTCTGAAGCCACCACCCAAACGGGACCCCATGGGGACAGCATTGTCTCTGCCACCCCGCTGGCTTCCTCCACTCACCTCGGGGAATTTCTTTTTCTGCAAATACGCAGTGGTGGCCGCATCAAAATACTTGGCATAGCCCTCATTCAGGCTGTAAATCTTTCCTTTCTTCTTAATCTTCACGTCTTTTTCCACCAGGATAAATTCACCAAGAGCCTAGCAACACGAAGAGAGACACCAGGAAAAAGAGAGAAGCCAGGAAAGAGAAGCCAACTGCATGATCCCCACAATCCCCACAATCACAGCAGGAGAAGACGGGGATCCGCTGGCAGAGCCAGGGCTTGGCTGTGGTCACTCTGAGCCTGCCCTGTGGTGTTTTCACGACTGGTAGGAAGAACAGGGGTCCTATGAAGTCCACACAGGAAGCTCAAGCAGTAATGTAGCGAGCAGGAAGACAATCGAAAGGGACGAAGCCCATGGTCTTCTTTCTTTTCCTTTTCACTTTCTACTGTCAGCGAGGTTCCTCATTTATGAGCAGCCTGACTGTGTGTATCTCCCAAGTTCTCACCCATAGATTAATGTTTTCAGGAAGACCATCCATCAACAGTGAGAGGAAGAAGTTACATTGCATATGAGGGATGCATTTGGATCATTAATTTGCAGTACAGTTATTTTGTTTATGTTACTGATCAATGGTAGAAACCATTCACACTTTCTGGTATCCCACTCTTATCTGGGAGAAGAGGAAGGCCTTTTCATCAGAAACTGTGTTCACTCGGCATAAGGAAAATGTTGGTAAAAATCTGAAGGAATCCTCAGTCATATTAATAAAACCATCCCACGGGCCGGGCGCAGTGGCTCACGCCTGTAATCCCAGCACTTTGGGAGGCCGAGGTGGGTGGATCACGAGGTCAAGAGATCGAGACCATCCTGGTCAACATGGTTACACCCCGTCTCTACTAAAAATACAAAAAATTAGCTGGGCATGGTGGCGCGTGCCTGTAATCCCAGCTACTCAGGAGGCTGAGGCAGGAGAATTGCCTGAACCCAGGAGGCGGAGGTTGTGGTGAGCCGAGATCGCGCCATTGCACTCCAGCCTGGGTAACAAGAGCGAAACGCCGTCTCAAAAATAAATAAATAAATAAATAAAACCATCCCCAGTCCCTTTCCAGTCCCCCTGTAGCCACCGTGGTCAACACCTTCAGGGAAGCTCTCAACTACCCCTTTATCTAGTTCTGGTGATATCAGTTGCTAAAAATGTGATCAGCTTGTGGCAGTTACCGCCTTAAATGCTGGTGTCTGTCTAAGTCCCTAGGAGGAAATTCAGAGCCTTCAGATCCACTTTGATGAATGTCAAAAATGTTGAGAAAGTGAAAAACTCCACAATGACAGCTCACACTGGGCGGCTAGGCCAGAAGTTTCCTAAGAAACGTCAGAGCCATTACTGGAATATAAAGAAGCATGGCCACAGAATGACTCCACATAGCAGAGGTGTTGCTATGAGAGGTGACACTGTCGAAAACAAGACAGTGACAAGGAGACTCAACAACAGAAACAGCCAAACAATCCTCTCCTGCCTAACACCAGTGACAAGTGCTTCTGTATCAAGGACTTCAATCTCCCTTCCTCCTAGATAAATGTTATTAAGGTAACTAGTCATAATTGCACCCACTTACAGACAATATTCAATCCAGATCGACTCTCTCTTCCTCAAATCCTCTTCAGAGTCACCAAGCAAAACCCCGGTGCTACAATAAGCCCATCTCAACTCCCTCATGCAACACCCCATGGTTCCTCTGCAGTGCCTGCTGAATCTAACTCTTATCATCACAGGTGCGCAGGTGGTCTTTTGCTCATGAGCTTTAACTCGCTGCTTTGGAACAGGCCAGTGCTGATTTCTACTCCTGAAAAGTGCCCTGGCTTCCTTTGAAGAATTAACTCTACTCATTGGATGCCAGTCTAGGAAGGCTCATATCTGGGCTCCTTGTAGGGCAAGGTCAGGCATGTGCCTTAGCTAGAAAATGAGATGCCCCTCCCTGGGATTTGAAACCCGAGTGAGAGGCGTGGCACCGGGGGTGGCGTCCAGGCCGGACGGGCCAGGTGGTGAGGCCACTGCTGTGCTTCCTGCTTCCTGCTCCTCTAGCCCTGCCCGTTCCCAGCCACGGTCCTGAACTTTCCCTTCAATGCAGTGACTCCTTTCGCTTAACTGAGCCAGGATCAATTATGCTCTTGCCTTTCAGCAAAGCCTGTGGAGATGCACAATTGTCTTCTGAACAGTGGCACTCACTCACCACCTGAACAGAGGAGCTCATTCTGCATCCGTGGGTGAAAACGTCTCGCGTTGATTCACTCCTGGGCTGGGCTCTCGGGTCCTGGGAATGTTGTTTCCACAATTGTATTAACTTGGAAAATGTGTTCTTTGGTCTGATTGTATGGTCACCAACAACCGCTGATTTTAAATGTGGGTTCTCATACCCTCTGTTCCCCATCATCAGACACCAGATCCTTGTCACTGAGAAACAACAGCCCCCATTTGAATGATGCCTTGACAATGAGCTTTATCCACAATGCGGAGCTGGTTAACAGGAGGTGGTCTCTCTGTACCTGAAGAGTATGTGTGTTCTGACAAAATCAAATCACCAGCCCTGTAGACCCACAGAACTCACAGGCTTGGTTTGACCCACCAGGGAATGCTGCCTTCATAAGCTGCTGGCCGCCCTCCACGGCGTTTCTGTGACAACTGCCACCAGCTACGTCCGCTGGGCGTCAAACAAGCACTAAGCGGTGTGCACTGGGTCTCTGCTCAAATGTCCTTTTTAGTAGGGTGATGTGATCCAAAGGGGTTTCAGGCTAATAATACACAGAGACCAGGAAAGATTATGATATTGTTCGTCTCTTTCTGTCATGTTGCCAAGCTCTGGTGTCCACAAATGTCCAGACTGGGCCCTGCTGTCATGTTTGAGGGCAGGAAGCAGAGGCTCTGTCTGTGCCTGGGAACCCCTGAGTTCGTTCCCCGAGTCAAAGCACCTGCCATTGCCTTTAGAACTGCTCAAAATGTTCCTTTGCTTGTACTGAAGAGCAATTGTGTTGGAAATTCAGTGTGGTGGAGTAGTTATACCACAGACTGCCAGAGCGTAACTCCTGACACCAATCACTTGACCCTGGGCAAGTTATGCTCTCTACACCTCACTTTCCCCATCTGAAAATAGGAATAATAATAGGACATACCTCATAGGGCCACTGTGACATTTAAATGCATTAATAGATAATAGATGTAAACTCCATAGGAATTCCACTTACATTCCTACCACTTATGAAGAATTATCTAGCTCTTAGCTGTTTTTACAATTTTAGAAAGGACGCTTTATTGTCTGAGAGTCATGTTTGTAAGCCTTAGAATTTCTCAGGGGTTCCCAGCTTCTTTGAACATAAAAGGAAATTGAGGCATTAGCAAACTTACACAGCAATGGGTCTCGGTCTAATGGGTACAAGGTGCAGAGATTCTGTTTGAAACGTTTCTGGGTTTCCATACTGTAAACTCTGTTTTGTGAGTTAACTCTGTGCCATTCGGAGATTTTGCAAACCCCTCTTTCCACACACAGGCACTAACATGTGAACTCTACGAGGGCTGGCATATGTGTTCCATCAATGCTCTTTCTCCACTCTCTGGAGAGGTGCTTTGAGACATAGTGGATGCTCAATAAACATCTGTCAGTCAAAAATTCAAATACTCACCTTTTGTCTAAGTGAACAAAAGAGTTTTTGAAGCGTTCTTTGGTCAACAGCATCTGAGTTTTCACAAGACCTCAGTGTACTTGGCAAAGCATTTCACAAGTGACAGGCAAGGCAACCGGCAGAGCATTCTACTGGACAGTGCTGCTCTAAAGACCTCATGCTTCTGCCAGAAATTTACAGCACTGTGATTCTCAAATCATGGAGCTCTCAAAAGCCAAAGAGAGTGGGTGCATTTTTGGAGAATGAACTCCTTAAGGACAGGGTCTGAGTTGATGCAACTGGCTCTGCAGGACACTCCTACCCCCGGTGCCCTCATTGGGACAGAGGCCCTTCATGGTTTCTGATGATGGTGTGGGCTCCCCAAACTAGGCTCTCCGGCTCCCTGGTCCCCAACACAAACATTAGGAATAACCAGAATATCATCCCAGGGACTAGCATGAAACCACAGAGGCCCAGGCACAGATGTTGTGATATTCTGTACCTACCGGGTCAAGCATGAAGAGGTCCACACCTTGCCCCGTGGAAAGAGCCACCAGGGTTGCGCTACCATACAGCGCGTAACCTGCAGCCACAATATTGCGGCCAGGCTGCAGGGCATCCTTTTCAGAAGGCTCATCCTCCGAGGTCTGCGGAAGAGAGGAGAGAAATGCTGTGTGTTATTGTTGTTTCCGAGAGAACACTTTGCAAGGGGCCTGGTCTTCAGATCTCCTCGAACCACCAAAGGAAGCACCATTCCTAGAATTGTAGACTGCTGTAAATCTACACGGGGACATGAGTGGCCATGCTGCCAACAGTTCTAGCTGAGCCATGGCAAAGGCCATCCTTGGACTTCTCCCTTCCTGTTTTCCACGCGCATGTGTCTGTAGCCTGCCAAGAAAAGCACTCCCCGATGCTAAAACCATAGCCCCTCTTCATCATAAGCCACACTCCCAAGCCACAATTCTCAACTCCGGTCACGGAGTGGAGCGTGCAGGGTCTCACTCTGCACACTTTGAGGAGACAGCACCATCACCTCCACGGTTCAGAGGGAGAACCCCAAGAACAAAACCGCCTGAGATAACAATCCACTGCAGCTGCCTCAGCTGCACGAGTCACTCAACAGCAGGAAGCCCTGACTGGCTTTCTCTCTGGCTCTGTGGATGCTCCTTCTCACTTCCTTCTCTTCGCAGCTCCTCTTCCTCGGATTCCCTAAATGTTGGTGCTCCTTCTGGTACTTCTGTAGCCCCTGGTGCATCCAACCAGTGCAAAATGATTCTTCCTCACCCTCTTATCCCAAATGGGGACTCTCAGCTGCTACATTTGTACTGAGTTGTCCCACCTCCCACCACACACATGCACAAACACACACATGCACACGTATTTGATGGGGTCAAGGATAGATTCATAGATTTGTGATTCAAACCAGCCCGATGTGAGCCTCTCCTCCAGAAATCTAGAACTGGAGTAGAGCATTGTGGTGATGTAAATGCAGAAGCCTTGTAAACTCGAATGTTCCTGCCACCATGTTCTGACCTCATGGTCTGGTTTTCCAGTGCTAGACGCCATGAGCACTCAGACCTGCTTCACTGAAGCTCCCAACACATTTTCATTCATGGGTTTAGTGTCTGACTTGCCCATGTACCAAGTATGTGATACCTGCCACCAGGTAGACTGTGAGCAACCTGGTGACAAGTACCAACTCCGGCTTGTTTATGTCTGTTTTCTACCACCTAGCACAGCCTGGCCCTGGCCCATGGTCACTGCATTTCATCCACTTACACATACACACATACACACACACACACACACACACACACATGCACACACATACAGCATGTGAGTTTATGCACACACATATATATACATGCAGACATGTAGTGGTTTTCAGCATAAGAATCCCATATACATTTTTTAGATTTATACTGTTCCATTTTTTGAGTGATTGCAAATAGCACATCTTTAAAAAAGGAATTATAACTATGAATTACTTTATTACTAATACATAGAAATCCAGTTGATTTTGAATCTTGATCTTGTATCCTTGCTAAACTCACTAGTTCTTGGATGTGATTTGGGTTTTCGTTTGTAGTTCTCGGGATTTTCTACATAGACCATCACGGCATCTGCAAGGACAGTGTTGTTACCTGCTTTCCAATCTGTATGCCTTTTATCATCTTTCTTGCCATATTGTGCCAGCTACGACTGTCAGGACTACATGTATGTTGGGTAATCCTGGTGAGTGAGGGCATCCTTGCCTTGTTACTGATCTTACAGGATAAGCATTCACTCTTTCACCATTAAATATTTTATAAGTTGTATATTTGACTTTGTCAAAAAAGAAAAGAAAAGAAAAGAAAAGTGAAAACTCCAGGATCCCTGCAACTTCCATGCCCTAGGACTCCTGCCAGGGGCCCAGGGTGTCACCAAAAGAGCCCTGGCCTGGGAGTCAGAGGCAGCGTCTCCCCTCCACCCTGCCTTTGTGGGGAGGCCCACAGGAGTCTTGGGGTCTGAGTTTTCTCCTCTATAAAATAAGGTGGTGGGAACAGTTGATTCTTTGTTTCTTTTGGGTTTTTTTTAGTTATAAAGCCATAAATGTCCTTGGTTTGGCTCACAGCTCGGGTTCCCCTGACCCAGGCTTCCTTGGTTGCTGAGTCTCTTAACCGATCCATTTATCCGCTGCATTTTGGGGGTCCACATTGGTTCTTTGTGGGCAAAACCAAAAACACCCTCAAACTTTTTATGTAGAGAGCACTAATATACATACCGCAATAAACAGATTAAAACAATTTCTTGGGGGCATATGGTGAGGAAAAAATGTTCTAAAAAGCTTCCAAGGGGAACCATAATGAAAACAAAGTCAAGAAACACTGATTTAACACAAAGGTGTGCAGGCACCATGACAGGTTCGAGGTAAAGAGGCAGATGGTAGCGTCTCCTCCTCTCAAGGGTCTGTCCGGAGGCACCGCCGCCCTTCCTGCTCGCTCTCCCAGGGCATGTGTCCTCCTTCCTTTCTTCTAATCTTTCTAAAAAATACTTTTTTTTTTTTTTTTTTGAGACGGAGTTTCGCTCTTGTTACCCAGGCTGGAGTGCAATGGCGCGATCTCGGCTCACCGCAACCTCCGCCTCCTGGGTTCAGGCAATTCTCCTGCCTCAGCCTCCTGAGTAGCTGGGATTACAGGCACGTGCCACCATGCCCAGCTAATTTTTTGTATTTTTAGTAGAGACGGGGTTTCACCATGTTGACCGGGATGGTCTCGATCTCTTGACCTCGTGATCCACCCGCCTCGGCCTCCCAAAGTGCTGGGATTACAGGCGTGAGCCACCGCGCCCGGCCCTAAGTAGAGTCTTCTTTAGCGCTCTGTCTTCCTCTATTTTCTGCCTGCTTTACATTTGCTGTTATTAAGCTGCCGGTGCTAAGGTGAGACTCAGTATTTATGGTATAAATAGAATATAGACATTGAAAACTCATTTGAAACCAAAGAGAAAAAAGGGGGTAAAGGAGATTTAAAAAGAAAAAATCCCAAACTACCATAAAGACTGCTTTACCCAGAATTTGGGTTGACAGCTTTCCTTGGATTAGCTATCAGGGCTAACAAAGTTAGCCACGTGAACAGCCTCTGATTCGGTCAGAAAAATAACTTGAAGCCGGCTGTCTTTTATAGGTCAGTGAGTTTGTGATGCTGTCTCGTGTCTAGAGCTCTGAGATAGAGCTCTTAGATCTTTCTTTGCGTATGGATGTACACATGTTTAGATATGTTTATGTAATTTACATGGTATAGTTATGTTCTGTGTCATGTCTAGCATGCTACCAAATTGGCTTATTAAATAAGTACTCATAAATTAAGTCCAAATGCTTTCCAAGTTCACAAGAATCTTTGATAAATAAAACTGGCTTCAAAAATTACTGGTAAAATAGGCCAGGCGCGGTGGCTCACACCTGTAATCCCAGCACTTTGGGGGGGCTGAGGTGGATGGATCACAAGGTCAGGCGTTCAAGACCAGCCTGGCCAACATAGAAAAACCCTGTCTCTACTAAAAATACAAAAAAAAAAAATTAGCCAGGCATAGTGGCAGTTACCTGGAATCCCGGCTACTTTGGAGGCTGAGGCAGGAGAATCATTTGAACCTGAGAGGCAGAAGTTGCAGTGAGCTGAGATCATGCCATTGTACTCCAACCGGGGCAACAATGTGAGACTCCGTCTCAAAAAAAAAAGTTATTAGTAAAATAAAAATAAAAATGCCTTGAGAATCATCAGCATACACTTGTATCTAAGCAAATAAATTTTATATTTGCCTCTGCTAAATGTTACAAGTGTCAGGGTTTGGCACAAAGACTGTAAGACTATGACCCAGCCAAACACAGAGTAATCTTGTATAATTTTTTTGGCAAATAAGACTAAATTAGGATTGTTAGTTCAATGAAAGCAAGTGAATCCTCTGAGTTATTGGCAAAATGCCCATGTATTTAACTCTGAGGTTCTTACTTAGGTGTTCACCTAATGTTCAGACTTTAAAAGTGGTTAACAGGGAAATAACTTTAAATAGTAACTAACTTTGTATATCTGTTTTCAAAAAGAATCTAGATAAAACTCAGGGATTAAAAAATTAAATACACATAAATGCAATAAATGCTTGTAAGTAAATTTTTTGTGTATTTAAATTTTTAAAAATTATTTTAAATAATAAATTTATTATTTAAATAATGTCTGGGTGAGACATTCAACAAGCATTTATTATTTAATTTAAAGTACTTAAAACAATGTTTTTAAATATATTTTATTGCACTTTGGGTTCTGGGGTATACGTGCAGAACATGCACGATTGTTGCATAGGTACGTACATGGCAATGTGGTTTGCTGCCTCCATCTCTGTCACCTATATCTGGCATTTCTCCTCATGTTATCCCTCCCCAACGCCCTATCCACCACTGTCCCTCCCCTAGTGCCCCCCAAAAGCCCCCATTGTGTTATTTTCCAATTTAAAAAAAATCACAATACTTCCAATTTTTAAAAAATTACAATAAATTATGGGAGTAATTTACAATAAAAATATGTGAAAACATGGTTCTAAAATTGTGAAATGACTTCATCTATAAAATGCTAACATCTGACAAACAATTCAGGACTTCTTGCTTACTAAGTTTCTACTAAAATTTAAAGTTAGTAGAAATAAATGCTAATTACTATATAGTTCTATAAATTGTATTCTTATTTTAAAAATAATTTTGACCAGGCACAGTGGCTCACACCTGTAATCCCAGCACTTTGGGAAGCCAAGGTGGGTGAATCATGAGATCAGCAGCTTGAGACAAGCCTGGCCAACATGGTGAAACTCCACCTCTAATAAAAATTAGAAAAAATTAGCTGGGCATGGTGGTGGGCACCTGTAATCCCAGCTACTTGGAAGGCTGAGGCAGGAGAATAGCTTAAACCCAGGAAGTGGAGGTTGCAGTGAGCTGAGATCGCACCACTGCACTCCAGCCTGGGCAACAGTTCAAGACACTGTCCAAAAAAAAAAAAAATTACATTTTATCAAAATAATTTCTGTGTTGTCTTTATCAGGTTTTAATGGCTTAGAAAGAGCTCTAAAAGGGTTAAGGTTTGTACATCTGTATAACCTGTATTGTCTTTTATTTGTGTATGTATTT